ACCGATTCAGTATCATGGCATGTCTTCTAGAACGATTATAGAACAGACACGCCGAAGGCAAAAACCTGATGATGAAAACCCAAAAAGAGATCGCACTATAATTTGACTTTCTGAACTGGAGACATATATTTTTTTGTTTTAATTTTTATAGTTGATTTGTCATCATTTTGAGCAGAACCAAACTTAAATTAAACCATTTAATAAGACCATATATCAATTTACTGTAATATCTATTTGACTCTAATATTTAACATGGATTTCCATTTAGACCTCCCGAGCATCCACAACCAACGTTTAGAAAAGTACTCACGTTTTCGGCCAAACTGACCATGTTTTCCGCAGTAACTTGTTCACCTTCCATGACGGTTATTTAGAGTTAATGATTTCAATGTGACGAATTTACAATTGTAACTAATCTAATTAATGGGGTTAGGATAAAACGCGGATACGGACGGACGGATGGATGGCGGACGGACGGACGGATGAGTGGCGGACGGACGGACGGATGGCTTCCAAAAAACTTTTTCAGCCTTTTTTAAGTCATATCCGCGTTTTATCCAAAAGGATAAAACGCGGATATGGTCCAAAAAACGTTTTTCAGCCCTTTTTAAGTCATATCCGCGTTTTATCCAAAAGGATAAAACGGATAGATAGATAGATAGTTTATTAAGATATATCATTGCAGCCAAAATGGCTGAATTGCATATAAATTTACATAATATAAAAGTTAAAAGTGATTAAAATAGTGATAAACTAATTTTACATGTAATATCCAATAAGTATAAATATAAACTAGGATTAAAAAGTTTTCCTAATTGAATTACTAAATATAAAACTATTTTTTAGTCTGTTTGTTTTACACACAGGAAAGTTAAACATACGTCTGTTCGTTAGTCCAATATCAGTTTCGTTTAGTTTCGGCACCAGATAATGCAGTTTATGGTTGGGATCAGAACATATCTCTTCAAAGAGTTTATTCGTTAGGTATTCTCTTCTTTCGTATGAAGAAAATAAGTTACTGTTCTTCAGTGCGTCCTGATAATTAATATTTGGGAATATGATTTGCATTGCGCGTTTTTGGATACGTTCTAATTCATCTGACAAATATGTGGGTAATCCGTTGTGGAAAACAGGACAGGCGTATTCGGTTATAGGACGAATACAAGTCTTCGGTTATAGGACGAATACAAGTCTAGATACGTGCGCTGAAAAATTAGAGATTTTTCAATCAATCCTAAAGAACGGTTTAGACCAAGTAGTTCGTAGGGGAACTACTTGGTCTAAACCGTTCTTTAGGATTGATTGAAAAATCTCTAATTTTTCAGCGCACGTATCTTTGGTTTTAACTAGGGCAGCAACATCTATTTCTTGAAAGTATGTGTGCATAGCCAAACGATTACTTGGACGCAAGTCCCTTGATTTAATTGTTAGTCGCTGCTTCGGTTGTTGTGAACGTATTTTTGGCTGAAGATCAATAGTCATATGATCGGATAGACCAAATGGGGGACGCTGAACTGGGCTGTTATAGAACTCGTGTAAATTAGTCAAAATAAGATCTAATGTATTTGAACTTCTTGTTGGGAAAGTGATGATTTGTTTTAATTTGAAACTAGATTTCAATTTTGTGACTTTCAATTTGTTGAAGTCTCCGAGTAGAAGGATTCCACTATTAGGGCTCTGAGTTTCAATTGATGAGAGGCAATTTATAAGATAGTTCAACATTTCAGAATCACTTGCACTTGGTGGATGGTACACTGTTCCTACAACGATGCAGTTAAAACCTCTTGGGAGTCGGGCTGGGCGGATTTTAATCCACAGGACTTCGAAAGCAGGGTCAACTAAATCGTCCATGAGGGAGAATTGAATCGATTCACTGATGTACGTACAAACTCCGCCGTGTACCTGTGATTTTCTATCAAGCCGAACTATATTGAATCCACTGATGGACACTACTTCGTCTTGGATGCAATCTTTTAGCCACGTTTCAGTTAAACAAACTAGACCAAAATTTGCGTGCACAACGCAATGTTGAATCTCATCAATTTTCGGCGCTAAGGACATCACATTGGAAAGGAGAACACTTGGAATGAATACATTTTCTCGAGCACATGCAACTGTTGATTCCATCGCGGTAGCGAGGGTAATTTGGACACAGTTTGCAGGATTATGAATTCTGGCTGATGTCAACGTTGTTGGTATTTGTTTGGTATGTCTGACTTGTCGCAATTGCTCAGGATTTACAAGTCCATTAGCGATTGGATTACGCTGTGATGCGATTGTGTCTCGGTTAGTAATTCGTACAGGGATAGGGATAGGTAAAGTTAAAGGGTGGTGCGGTCCCTGGTGCCGTTGTTGGAGTGTTGTCATTGTGTTAATCGGCGAACAAGATTTAAGTGATATATGGTCCAAAAAAACGTTTTCAGCCTTTTTTAAGTCATATCCGCGTTTTATCCAAAAGGATAAAACGCGGATATGGTCCAGAAAACACTTTTCAGCCCTTTTTAAGACATATCCGCGTTTTATCCAAAAGGATAAAACGCGGATATGGTCCAGAAAACGTTTTCAGCCTTTTTTGAGTCATATCCGCGTTTTATCCAAAAGGATAAAACGCGGATATATGCTCCAGAAAATGTTTTTCAGCAGTTTTAAAGTCATATCCGCGTTTTATCCAAAAGGATAAAACGCGGATATGGTCCAAAAAACGTTTTTCAGCCTAGTTCAAGTCATATCCGCGTTTTATCCAAAAGGATAAAACGCGGATATGGTCCAAAAAAAACGTTTTCAGCCATTTTTAAGTCATATCCGCATTTTATCCAAAAGGATAAAACGCGGATATGGTCCAAAAAACCTTTTCAGCCTTTTTAAAGTCATATCCGCGTTTTATCCAAAAGGATAAAACGCGGATATGGTCAAAAGAACGTTCTATAAGGGATATCTATATGTGTAAAGAATATTGAATATTGTCCTAGAATTTGAACAAATAAAAACCAATGTCTCTTCGCTTAAATACTTATTGCGAGATAAGAGTTCTAAAATTACAATTTAGTGTTAATAAAGTTTTAATTTAGTGTCAGTTATCTGCTATGCAGTACTCCAATATTATGCCAACGTAATGTGCTGTTTTTCAAAGGCTTATTTGATGTCAATGCAGTTGTCGGTTTAAATATACCTACAATCCGAAGATATGACAATTGCTGTACGGCCTACTTTTACGTAAACGCAAATTACAATCTTTAATCTTTAATCTTTAATAAAATTATTTAAACACGGTAGCCTGTTCAGCAGATAATATTTACAGCGCTGGTTTTCAAAGGGCGGTGTGTTTACAACAATAATATAAAAAGGACAAAAAGAATATAACTATTTACAATGAATTGATACGGATGAATTAAGTAATCGCCGTTTAAACGACAAAATTGAAAGATTGTTATAATTTTCAATAGTTTCACTTGGAAGTTCGTTCCAGGACTTAGCAGCTCGATACGAGAAACTTCGTTTGAGAAAATTTGTCTTAGGTTTGGGTAGGTTCAATTTAATTTGATTGCTTCTTAGATTGTAATTGTCATTTTGACTTACTGAAAACAATTTTTCAAGGTATCGAGGTAATCGACCAGTTAGTACTTTAAATGTCATTATTAACTGTCGTTGTTTTAGAAGTTCTTCCATTGGAAGCCAATTAAGACTATCTAGCGTTTGCATGGAACGAACCTCGTATGTGTCCCCTGTTATCACACGCGCTGCTCTCTTCTGCAGTATAAACAATTTATCAATTATCGAACAACATCCATCATTCCAGATTGTTGAACAATAATTGAAATGAGGCCACACTAAGGCATTGTAGATTTTTATCAGACTATCTCTATTGACAAACAATTTTGCTCTTTTCAGCAGGGCGATATTATTTGAAATTGTTTTACATTGCATTTCATTATGTTTATTCCATTTTAGCTGGTCGTCAAGGATCATGCCTAGTGACTGTTTTTGATAAACTCGCTTAATGTTGTTTCCCCCTAATGTTGGTACTGGGCTATTTTCAATTGAAGCTAAGCGACGTCTTGATCCTATTATCATAAATTCACTCTTTTTCATATTTAATGAGAGCTTGTTAGCTGTCAACCACCTATGAACATTTTCAATGTCTTTATTAAGTTTGATCTCAATTTCATATGGACTAAACCCTTCACAAGAAAGGCTTGTGTCATCAGCAAAAAGATTTGCTTTAGTTGTCTCTAAACAGTTAGGAAGATCATTTATGTACAATAGGAATAAAATAGGCCCAAGGTTAGAGCCCTGAGGTATCCCGCATTTTATTTGTCTAACAGCTGACATCTTGCTATTCACAGAGCATATTTGGCTTCGACCAGAAACGTATGATTCGAACCATTTCAGGCTAGTTCCTTTAATACCATATAATTCAAGCTTTGATAAAAGAATATGATGGTCGACAGTATCAAAAGCTTTTTTGAGGTCTAGAAATAAAACTCCGCTAAGTAAACCTCTGTCCATATTGAACAACCATTCATTTGTAGAACTAAGCAGTGCAGTTTCAGTAGAATGTTGATGACGGAAGCCAGACTGCTGTTCCACAAGAATGCCATTCAACCTCAAGAATGAACTTAGCTGCAGGTATACCAGGTTTTCGAAAAGTTTAGCTACAGCTGAAATAACAGATATTGGCCTATAATTTTCACAGTCTGCCTTATTTCCTTCTTTAAATATGGGGGTCACCTTTGCTAATTTCCAATCATTAGGGAAAATTGCTCTTTGAAGGGATACATTGAATATGTTCACTAGTGGTCCTGCCACAATGTTAGATGCATCTTTTAGTAACCCTATACTAATACCATCAAGCCCTGGAGATTTCTTAGTTTTAATTTCATTGAGTGCATCTATTGTTTCTTGGAGTGTAATGCTTGTAAAGTTGAATATACTACCATCAAGAGGAGTCACAAAGTTCATTGGATCAGTGCAGTTACATGTGATCTTGTCAGACAACGTACTGCCAATTGTGGAAAAATATTGATTGAAGGCATCTGCAATTTTATCATCGTCAGTAATAAGTTGGCCATTTATATCTAGTTCTTTAACCTCTGAAGTTTTAGGCTTTTTGTTTAATAATTCATTAATAGTTCGCCAACTTTCTTTGCTATTTTTAGCATTGCTTAGTTTATCTCTAAAGTATTCTTGTTTAGTTTCTTTTATGAGATTATTTAACTTGTTTTTACATCTCTTGTAAGCCTTATCATAATACGCAGATCTTAATTTAATCGATTGCTTTTTAAGGTAATCCCTACGATAGCTCATTTGCTTAATTTCATTTGTCAGCCACGGT